TTCGTTTCGGGGAATTTTAAAATTGCCTTGGGATTTTTTAATTTCGCGACAGCTGTTGTTGCTTGCATTTGAATTTTAAGTGTCCCAACTCGACATAATTTGAATATTTATGCCGCGTGACTCCTGTAGGCATACATATGAACCATATGTTTTTTTAAATTTTCTGTCGTGGTGAGGTGAAATGAAGATAAAATGAAGGATGGAGCTCTGTAAAGGTATATACGCTTGGGAGAAGGGGGGTGATCGTGATTCAGATTTCAAAAGGATGTAGAGAGGGTAAAACGATTATTTATTTTACTGAAGCGTGTATATTATATCAGTACTTTGTGCTTAATTTGGACAGAGGGTGTTTACACTTTTTTTTTTTTTTTTTTTTTTTTTTTTTTTTTTTTTTTTTTTTTTTTTTAACCATTACGAGAATAGAATAATATTTCCGGATTCGTAAAACATATGGTATGTGTACAGAGATGGAACGGCACCATTTCCCGTACATCCGTGGGATATACCCAATAACGCAACGTCGGTTGGGTTATTCACGAGATCTACGATCTCAATACGCGTACGTGTTCCAGCAGTTTTGTCTTTTGATTGAAAAAAAAAAAAAAAAAATTGAAAATTTCATTTACACAAACATGAAATATCTCTCACGCGGATGTTGGGGCGAGCGTTCACACAAATGTTCTCCGGAGCACTTGATTTTCCGCGTGACCTTCCTCGAGATTTATCTCGCAGTTTCGGTCTGCCGCTTACATAAATTCGCTCGTTTACTTACTGCGACGTTGTAACTCGAGCTAGTGGAGAGAAAATGAAATAAGAAGTCGAAGAAGACGACGGCAAATGAGCTTGAAAAATAATAATCTGTATAATCCCCGTTTTGGAAAACCAAATTACATTGAAAATCCGTGTGGTTGGGCGGATGGTAGAGAGACGCGCTGTTAAGTTCCACAGTGGCACTCGAGTTCCAGATTCCCGAAATTTAATTTTAAAAGCCAATTACAAATTCAATTTTGCACAAATACAATAAATTTACTGCATGATGTAAACACACTGTAGGTACAAATAGCCTCGCACCCCTCGATCGAACAGACTATATATGAAAAAAAAAAAAAAAGAAACTGCTTCTTGCCGGAAGCAACGTGTATACCTGTAAAAATAAATCAAACGCACGACATCATTCCCCATCCGTCATTCCGTCCGACGCGGTGTAACCCAGAGTGGGCAGTGATGCGAAAGAGTACACGTGAGGTGAAAGTGATCCCCAGTACACATATATAGGATGTCGTTCGATTTTTTTTTTCCTTTTTTTTTCCTCCCTCGCGCGGATCAAAGCCAACCGCGTTCTCTGTGATTACAGCCCCGAAGTGCACAGCCACGGAAGCACCGGTCCCACATCCCACGCACCTCAAAGGACTGCGACGCTCTACATGTACAGGTGACTGAAAGAGAATTTTCCAGTGCACAGAGATGCCCAACCCCCGCACTATTTTTTTCAACACTCGGCAAATCAGCTGTACACAGAATAAGGAAAATTTCGCTCTAAACAAAAGATGTGCATACGTATATATATGGCAAAGGAAAACCGAGGCTCCCTCGTCGGCGTTCATCTCTAATGGGCAAACAAACGGCGGCTGTTTGTTCTTGTTGTATACCAACCACGCAGGGTGTAATTGTCGATTTCGCGAATACACACGGAGAGAGAACAACAACAACAACACACGTTAACGACGACGAAGGAGAGATAGATGCCCCCACAGGTACACTCCCAAGGGTAAAGCGGCCCTGCATGTACATGTACGTATATATGTATGTGTGTATCCATAAGGTATGAGATCGACGTCTCTACCGCGTAAAAAATACAGGGGGTGGAGAGGAAGGGGATATCCGTTTACCCGCTCGTTGCATCATCTTTACAACGTTGGACGAGTTATAAAAACGCGGGTTAAAGGAAGGACGCGCGCTCCTTCCCCCGCAATTTGCGGAATGATTTCTCCATCGAGAATAACGGCCGTGAAGGAGAGACGTTCCCATCGTCCGGGCGACCAAGGGTGTGTGTGGGGGGAGGGGGAGAAGTTATTGCTGTCTTTTTAACGAGAACCTCTCGATACTAAGGGGGTAGGGGCTCTCGTTGTATTATTAAAGACCGTTCCCGTTGCGATATGATTGCTGTATACGATTGATCGTGAAAGCCGCGACCTCTAATGGATCTCCCATTGTATGGAAGAGCACTGTATAGGTGTAGAGGAATACGGTATCAATCGACGGAGGGGGGGGGGTGAGTAAAGAGCAACGAGGGGAACAAAGCCTCGTTGATTATTCATCGTTTGTTTGATTGATTCTCGCGGTGTCTGAATGATGGGAAAAAAAATAAAGACGTTGGGTCGAGGTTTCGGAACTATACTGATCGCGATGGCAGCAACAAGTGCGGCGAAACGCGCACGCGTGTGTATACGGGTTTGTTTTTTAATGAATGCGAGGTGTCGCCATGGGGGATGGGTATACGCGGAACTAATCGGGAAAAAAAAAGCACCGCGCTGTGGTGATACCAGCGTCGTCGTAATCCGGCGAGGTATCAATTTCGCGGTGACGCGCTTTATTGGTTTTATCGAGGAATATAATACGTGTGTACCCGACGAGCCGAAAAATAGTGTAACATGTGACAGAGGAACAACAACGCGTCCATACAGAGTTTTTTAGGCCATTTGGGCAGGAAATGGAGGTAAACGTTTTTTCTTTCAACTCGTACGCACCCAGAGAGAGAGAGAAAAAAAAAACAACTCCTTTTTGCTCGCCGCGTCGAGTCTCCCCCCAAGTTTTAACAGCTGAATTTTAACGTCAGACGAGAACTGATCGCTCCTTTCGAGCGCTCCCGTTTATCTCTCCCTTTTTTTCCCTAACCCTCCGGGGCCGACTAGGCGTTTTTATCAGTCGCCGTAACTTTGGTTGATTTTTTTTTTCTTCTCGCCCGGAGGCAAATCGTGCCCTCGTCAAAAGGGAGGGTATCCGTAGATCCGTGGCGGTGTAATTGTTGAAATTGTCAAAAAAGGGGATGGAGAAGCTCGCGATTGGATTTCACGTGGATCAAGAGAGATCATCGGTCCAACGAGTCGGGAACTTTTGCGAATTAATGTTTACCCCCTCCCACCTTTGGGAAAAGTACACGAAAGTTGTAGCCCCACGGTGTTTTGCAATGTCAAGCTTTGAGCGTATTTTCCTCCCAGACCCGAGGAAAGTTAGTGCAATTATTCAAGTAAATGCTCCTCGTTTGATGCCGACTCGGAGCTCAAATCTCTGATTAACTTTGCTGACTTGAAAGCGATGTTGAATATTATTCCCCTTGTATTAGCAAAAGTAGCACCATCGATCCCGGAAAAAAAAAAAAATATATATTCAGCTCTCGTTGATCCACACCCTCGATGAAGTCGCGTTAAAAGCCAAGTGTCCTTCCGCACGTATACTTCCGCTCTGCGTGTACGTGTATACCTATACTATTACTGTCTCTTTACGACGCTTTGTAAAGTTCGAGGAGCGGCGACTGGACGGGGGAGGGGGGGGGGGAGATTGCCGGTGACTCGTTAGTGCTGCTGCTGACGATCCCCCATGCATGTAGTCGTTTGAGGACTTAGTTTGCAACTGGTGCTGACGGGATGATGGTTGAGGTTTGATGCGTGCGGTAGGATTTTTTTTTTTTTATTTCAAGCAAGAGTAAAGCTTGCCATATACAAACAGTTGGAAAATTAAGAGGATTACGAGTGGGTTCTGAACTGCGATGGAGAGAGAAAGGGGGTCTTTGTCGAAGGTGGCTCATTAAAGTTTGAACCGTAGGATAATGTTTTTTGTTTATCGGGGACTGGCACAAAAAAAAAAGTTATCAAGAGGAACGCGTATACTTATTTTTAATACTTTGCTCTCGAGTTATTTTACCTTTCTGCTTGAATTCAAATCAAAAACGAAGTTTTGTCATGTTGATCGAAAAAATTGAACAAACTGCGATATTGCGTTACTGTGAGATGTTGAAAGTAGGTAGACCCGATTTTTAATTAAATATCATAGAAGGGGAGGAGGAGAAAAATGAAAGGATTGTAGGTCACGGAATTCCTAATTAACTCCATCCGCAAGAAACTTTTGCAAACAATGGAAACGAAGAAGAAGAAGAAGGAGAATCAAGGCGCACGACGGGATCATTCGTTCCCGAGCATCTCCCTCGCGCTCGCGATTATGAAATGTATTTCAAAGACAGACACGTCCTCCCGCAGTTGAAATTTCGGAAAATGTGTAACGTCATTTTTAATGAAATCGAGTTTTTGGTGCTTGAAGCGCTGCACCCACTCATTACGTGTATTTATCACTAAAATTGCCTGACTTTTGGATGTGGGAGGCATAAGCTTGCATTTTCTCACGTCCCTTGACATGGTCATCTTTAGTTTTAAATGTAACTCCCATGCAGCGAAACGTGATAATTGTAATTATGATATTAAAAAAAAAGAAAGAAAAAAAAAAAAAAAANTGGGGAAAAGTGGTCGAGTAGTCACCCAATACCCCACCCAGGCAAAAATAGTGGCTACGGCACGTAAAATAAAGTGTATGAATCGAGGATTAGCTGCAATACAAGCTAGCGAAAAGGTAAGAACCTTTTAGAAAGAGAAGAAAGTAGAAAATCATAATTGCAGTGAATGAGCACCAGCGCCGTCAGATAAACGAAATCAACAAGACTCTTCCACAGTTCCCTTTCCATGCATGACAAACAAAAATGAAAGAAAGAAAGCGAGATAATTTCACACACAGGAAATGAGACAAGACCATAGAAACTAAGTAAGCCTCTAGCAAAAGATTGATTATCCTTCCGTATTCGCATCTGTTAAAATGTAATAGTAATTAATTATATTGATAGAGTGTACTTACTCGAGTACCGAAGAGAATGAGGAAAAAAAAAAAAAAAAAAGTAAATTAGAAAAGCAACAGTCGACGAAAAGATTCACACGATGGTACATCAAAACGCTTACCTGTTACACTCCGATCCCAAGGAGTCCTTGCCAAAAGGGAAAATACAAGGAGCAACGATGATTTATACCCACAGCCAGTGAACTTTAGCTCGTCCCACTATTTCGGCGCGCCAATGCAAGTGTCCCGGTTGTATATAACACTCACTCCCCCCCCCCTAACCCCATCCCCTTGGTCCTGTCAGTTTGTGGATTGTACCCAACGTGGTGGCACACGCGCTAGCCAATACTCGAGGATGCAACGTGCATATATTTATTTATTTTTTTCTATAAAATATAAAGGAGCACGTCTACGAGCCAACGCGTGTCTCCCAGCGTCAACTGGTAAATGTACCGCGCGCCCGTACGACCACTGGCTACCGACTACCCTAGCCATCCGCTCTCGCGTGGCCTTTTATACATGTATATCTATAGACGCTCAACCACCCGACTGCCAACACGCGCCCGTACATATTAACACGCACTTGCACACACGTACGGGGGCCAGGGAAGAGAAGTGCGTGGTGGCGACTCGGCCGTGCCTATACCACACATCGCTCGCACCTACGCAACACCAGCAGAGAGCCGAACGCTCTCGCGACCCGGCCGGACTCGCACTCCTGCCCCACTCTCGCGGGAGCGCGCAACCCCCCACCCCCCCTACAGCCGTAGCTCCACCATCGTCGACGGCGGCTATGGGACGGCTCTTCGGCGCAGGCGTTGGCCTCCCCCGTTCACCTCGCCCTTCCCCTATGTGACGCGCGGCACCTTCCCGCGCTCTTCTCAGGTGGATATGTACAGCCCTCACCCTCCTGCAGAGTGCATTTGCGTGCGTTGCGTCGTATTACCTACATTTGTAATTTGCACACGCCAAGCTCAAGTAGGGCCGTTTCTGGCTCGGCTCTCTATTTTTTTTTTTTTTTTTTTTCATCTCTTTAACAACCCTTGGTCATCCCTCGCTTGTGCGCATCCTCGGTCGGGTGAGGCGGGCTGTTAATAATATCATCGAGTTTACAGCGTGTACACCTACCGCCGTAACCCCCAAGCCCATTAACTCGGATGGTAATTTACAGAGAGGCAAAGCTTACGTGTACACTCGTGGGCGTCAATCCATGTAACAGCACGGTCGGACGATGCTGGGGACGCGTGAGCGGCAAGTTGGGCGATCGGCACGTCCTCGCGCGTGTATATATATGGCGTGTACTCGAAATTCTCTAGATTGTCCCTCTGATGTTTGTGACTGCATTTGTTTGATTTTTTTTTTTTTTTTTTTTTCGAAAACATGCGCATTGGTTGCCTCGAAGGATTTTCCGACAAGCGGCCTCTTCTGTAGGCTCGCGAGATCGATCCTCCGCCCGCGTGTTTCTTGTTCCACCCAGTAAGGTATCGCCGAGCGCTTCCGAGACAAGAGGGAGAAAGAGGATTGAAAAATCGAAGCCCCGAAGGGGAGATCGAACGAGTGTGATCTCTATCCAAATGGGTGTGTACCCATGTGTCACGGCGCCCGAGATTTTCCGTGTAGCTATTCCTCCTCCCGCCTCTCCCCCACGAAGAAGAAAGGGGATTCACTCGAGAGGTTGAAAACTAAAAGGTCGAGGATAAAGGAAAGTGGAGCGGTACTCCGGGGGAGGGTGGGAAAAATGAGTCTCTACGGCTGATAAAAGAGCGACGATTTCTTCGCTTCCAAGTGTAATCCACGCGATTGAGACTTTCCTTTGGACGCGGGCCACGTGAAAAAGAAATCGAAGGAAGAGAGTAGTAACGAGAGCTCGATCGCGGGGGCGGGAAAAATCAGTGCTGATCCGTTCCGCGACACAGGCGTTGTTTTCGTTACCATTACGTAGTGTGCCGATGAATCGTTCAAAGATTCTTTTTTTTTTTTTTCCCCCAAGAGCTGAGAGGAGCCGATCGATTTTCCCGGGTATTATTACCGGAGAGCTCGGGGTCGAGCTTTTTTTCCCTTTTTTTTCAGACTAATTATAACACGGGGACGATTTAATTGTACGCTACGGTAATTCAATCGAATACTGTTTGCCAAGAGGGGGGTTAATCGTTCGCGATCCTGTTATTAAATTCCGATACTATGCGACTATAATTACGTGTGCGACGTCTGACCAAAGCTTGACTTTTTCACTTGTTGGGGAACTTTGTCCAGGTTACCAAAACATTATTTAATGCTGATGATGATTAAGCACGAGTACCGTGTAAAAGTGAAGTTTGAGTATTGAGTAACAATAACCCATATATGTATTATCTTAAAATTCCGAACAAGTAGAAAAGATCAAGCTCCGGTCAGACGTTCAATTTAACAATCCGAGCGGTAGGTCTAAAGGACCTACACTTACTTTTAATTTGTATCTTCTCTTTCAGGACTTATCTAGCATACAGGTATATGCAATAGTCACTTTGAGAGCACCAGCCCGGAAAATCCGTTTCGAAAAGTGTACCTTGTCGTCCGCACGCGCGAGAGTGACTATTTTAGACGGGAAAACCTACGTGTCCTCGCAAAGGATCGAGAGGGAGCAACTAGTTACGCAGGCTCATACTATAATCTCCCTCTTGATGCAGGAGCGAGCGTGTAAAGTGCGAACGACAGTAATGCAAAAGTGCGCGCGCGTGTAGGTGTATATAATTACGAAGTATACGCTGGATATTGGAGTTGAGATTCCTTTGCTCCCGTGGAGTGTATAGGTGCACCGAGAGCGACGCTTTCGCGAGTTTTGCTCGATTTCTCTCCGCGAGCGAGTCAGCTACTTGGGTCCTCGGAAGGCGTAATTAACGAGAATGCCTATACCGTGACGATGCCCGTCTTACTTGCGCGCTGGTGGCTGCACAAAGGTTAACACATACAGGCATTTTACTTTTCACGTGTACTCGCTCTCTTCCTCCTTTTTTCCATAATGACTCTATACTCTGCTCGTCGAGGTCATTGGTTTTTATCAACATTAAATAGGAGCGGGAAGGAAAAACTATACTTGTTTTATTTTTTCTAATTGCTTCTTGTTGGGTGGAATTTTTATTCAACGCAAAGTGCATGGGATTGTGTATTTTTTTTTTTTTTTTTTTTATGTGCACAAGAGCAGCTGCTTTCAAATTGCTTTTAGGGCTGCGAAAAAAAAAAGAAAGTACAAAAACCGACGAGCAGAAAAATCCGAGGAGATTTCAAAAGCTGCTCGGCGAAGCCCCATACACTTTCTCTCCCCCGGCTGCACGGAATGGAAAATAATTTTACGAATACCGACACGTGCATGCAGGTGCACGCGAGAGACTCGGCCGGAAGTGAAAAATGAAGCGATGCTTTGAAAAAATCCATCCCCCCGCCAATCACCCTTCGACTCGGAAAGTCAAAAGCGCCGACTCGACCGACGAACGCGAGCGCTATTGTTCATCGGCAACCCTTCCCTTCGAGAGAGCCGCAGCTCCATCCGAGCGGAGGTCACTTGCAGCGAATCACAGGCAATAACGCGTGCGCGGATTTATACCGGTCGATCTGGATTATACAGATGCCAATGGGCTCCATTACCCACCCCCAGGAAGAGCTAGCGTATAAAGCCAGGGAATTGGATTCGCAGCCGCTGTGCTTTGTTTCTCCCGCATCCATCACCCTATACCTTTTTTTTTTTTTTTGTTTTTTTTCATCCAGAGGCTTTTTTTATCGTGATTTTTGTTTCTTCACTTTGATTATCCAGCTTGCGCTGTTTCCGCGCTTCGCAAAAAAAAATAAACGGCCGAGACTGACGGCTCGATTGTTTTTTTTTTTTTTTTTTTTTTTGTGAGCGAATTAATTTCGGACGGAGGTTTTATTTTCATCTCGTTCGGCGACCAGTGCGAGCTTCCGTGGGTGTACGTGAAAGGAAGAGGAGAGCTTTTAATTTGAAAAAAATCACGCTTTGCTCTCTCCTGTTTGTACCTGTTCACGATACTGTTGTCGCGCATTTTCTGATTTTTATAGCGAGCGATGATAAGCAGCGTTGGGTATGAAAATAAGATTTTAATTACGGCGCCACACCAATTCCTTGACCAGCTCGGATGAGCTACTTTTGAAAATCCATGTATAAAATACATGCGGTTAAAAGCAATTTAGAGTACACGCGTGCGTGTATTCGCATATTTGATCGGTAGTGTACACGTGTGAGTGTGTACGTGCGACCCAATGCGTCTTGGATCACGTGCTCTTTGGTTGCGGTACATTATACGACGAGTTTCTCGTTAACGTGTATACACTGTGCAGTATAACAGGGCTGTGGGTGTACAACAAAGTGACGGCGATCGACCGATGGGGTTTGCCGAACGGCTATTGGATATCCGATTCGAAAATCCAATCGCGTTCGAGCATTGATTCATTGGCTTCTGTGCGGTTATAATCGTAAAATCGATAGGCAAACGATGCAATAATAATCTACGATTCTTACCGATTCCACACCGGTATCCCGCCCATTGCATTGCGAAAGCAATAATTTTGGAATCGCCGAAAGGTCAGTACGCCGCAAGCGTGTACACTGTAAAGGGAACCCCGTGTATTCGTTAATTACAATGTCTTATGGGGGGTGCAATGGATTGTGTGTAAAAAAGCTGTAGAAAAAAGTTGCTTGACAAGAAAAATAATAATGCAATGTAAGAACCACCGGTATCGGCATATTCGGCTTTAATTTCGACAAAAATGTGAATCGAAATAGCTGTGCTTGCAGGCACAAGAGAGATAAAGACAAAAGAAAGCAGTGATAGAACAGCAGAGTATGACAAGTGACGCAGTCGAGAAAGTGACTGTATTCGGAGTTTCGGTAGGTCATTTGTCATATATAGTTATATAGCTGTACAGTAACGATTCAACAGTTGATAATATTCCAAGATAAGCTATATATTCGTTTAATCTCCCAAAATGTACCTATACTCCGCTATGGACGCTTAAGATTTAGAGATTTAAGAAAAATATTTTAAACACGTTTTCAAATAGTCGTGAAAAAATACAGATAAAAAAAATGGTACCAACAAAAGAACTGACTACTACGTTGTTTACGCATCGTGTGATAAAGTTTTAATTCATTCGTTTGATAATTATTTCAATCTATTGTTGTACTAATGGCTCAAAATTTTTTTTTTAGAATTTATTGAAATAATAGTGTTATGATATATTCAAGCTTAAACGATATTTCTTTGTACAAAAAATAGTAACTGTAATACCAACTCAGTAAACCGGTATAATATTTATATGCATAACGAATTGCGGGGCTTATTACAGTTGATTACTCCATTCAAGATTATAAGAGCCATAATTCAGTTTTCGATCAAAAACCTCCATGTCTTGAGTCGAGTTAAAAATTAGTTTCTCACTTTTATCAAAATTACGGAAATAATGATAATCATAAATATATATAGCATATTAGTCATTTTTATCCTGTAAAGTTTTATCTACTAGATAATAAAATTTGTTACAAGCGTTATTTAAAAATAAACAGTTATCATTTCATTCTCGTTTAAGTCTGTTTAAGTCGAATAGATTTGCAACTTCCCTGGTTTCTAAACGTTACTACATAAACTGGCTAGAAACTCGTCAACATATTATAAGCCCATTCACGCATGTAAGTTGACGAGTTTCTAGCTAGTTTATGTAGTAATTTTCTACCAGGGTTCAGTTAAATTTCAAATTTGGATTACACAATTACCAGTCAATGGGATGTGTTAACAATCATTTAAGGACTAAATTGTTTTCACTAAAGTTGATAAAAAACTTTTTATGACATCAGACGATGTTCGAGACAAGATAAGAATAATTGTACAAAAACGAAAATAATAGTCGTTAAAATATATCAAGTCAGTTCGAAACATCTTTATCACGTTGAGGGGAGCTGAAAATTTTCCACTAATTGTCAGTTTTTTTTTTTGTTTTTTTAAGTATACACTCGATTTTTACAGTTGACTAGCGTCAGTCAAATTAGTGCTCTTGCCCTCACCGATTTCCAATTCTATTATACAATCCTTCTCGACTATTAGTTTTACACGATGAGCATATCATTGGTAATATTATTTGCCTTCTGCATCAGCGTTGGTTCATCGGTACGTAAAAACAAAAAATTTGTATCCTCGTAAGGTAGTAACTAGTAACTATTGACATAAATACAAATGAATTAACAATAAACTTTAGTTGAAGCCGACGGTGTTCCCAAGTAAGTCATTTAATGTAACCAAAGACGTAAATGTACTTCATAATGCAATGAAAGGCATCGGCACCGATGAAGGGGCCATTATTAACATCCTGACGAAGCGCTCAATGAATCAGCGACTCAGAATCGCTGAAATTTACTCGTATCAACGTGCTAAGTCCTTAGACTTCGTGAGTCAATTGAAGGATGAACTTTCCGGCGACTTTAAAAAACTTGTTGTGGCACTTATGACTCCACCACTCGTATACTACGCCGAAGAGATGCACGACGCTATGGACGGCCTGGGCACCGACGAGGACGCTATTGTCGAGATTCTCTGTACTTTGAACAACAACGAGATCAAAGAGATGACTACTTTTTATGAGAACCGTAATTATTTCAAACATTTTCTAGTTTATTTTATTTCATGCGATATTTATAGCAAGTTCAATAAGTTCGTAACGAGCATCAATTTGAAATATAGAAAGTACTCTCAGATAAGGATCTTTGAATACTCTTTTTTTNTCCTTTCGAAATGTTGACATTTCAATTTAACATCAAGATATAAGTCTTATTTAGTTTGAATAAGTCAGGTACGATATTAAAATACAAAACATAATATTAAAATATATTTCTTCGAACACGCTTTCTAACATTTTCTAGTTTATTTTATTGATGCGATGATTATAGCAAGTTCAATAAGTTCGTAACGAGCATCAATTTGAAATATAGAAAGTACTCTCAGATAAGGATCTTTGAATACTCTTTTTTTTTTTTTTTTTTATCTAAGTGAGTGATCGATTTCTTTTATCAAGTTTTTAACTTGAATACGTAAGTTAAGAGATCTCAGTCAGACAGACGTAGTCATTAGTTATAGATAAAAAACAGTGATTACTAAAAGTCTGTAAATACTATACTAAGAGCGAGATTTGTACACAGATACTTTCGGAGATAAGACCAATCTTTTGGCACTAACTATTATTTTATCAAATCACTCATAATCTCCATGCTATTAACACGCTATTAGGACTTAAAACTTTGCATGGGCGTTGTCGAGATTGTGTGAAACAAATTTTCTAATAGTAATAGTCATATAGCTGTTATTTAATTACAAAGATGCATGAACGACTACAGTTGTACTTTAGAGAGCATTTTTGAATTGGTACTTTATTTCTCCCGAGCAACGGTACATCCTTTGTAGTTTAAGCTGCGAAGAAATAGTTCCCACCGAAAATCTGTCGAATCTAATACTATTTCCATATTGAATTCAAAATTAAACTGTTTTATTGAATTTTTTTCCATGCAGTATACAGCAGGAGCCTAAAGAGTGACATACAGGATGACACATCTAGCGACTTTCAAGAGTTGCTTCTCTCACTCCTCATGGCTAACAGAGAGATAGAAAATAAAGTCGAAAATGACGCGGCTGTATCTGACGCTTGGAGTTTTTCTGGATATTGTAATACATTTATTTCTACATAACAATATGGTAGTACAGTGTTATTGAAAAATATAAAATATACATTCGTCGATTTATTACTTTTTTAGACGAGGAACAGTGGATACCTAAAGAAATTATATTTAAAAACATCATCTGTTATCGCAGTTATCCACAGCTTAGACAAACCTTCATCGAGTTTTTCAATCTTTGCAATTATGATATTGAAAAACGAATCCAAGAGATGGGATTTTCTAGAGATTTCGAGAAGGGACTTCTTCAAATTGGTAAATAAATTGAGGATACTCTCTATGTTGTTTAATAATTGTGGTTTACAGTTTACTGGTATATTAGCTTCTTATGAATGATTTTTGTTTTTTTCAGTGAAACGTGCCAAGTCGAAAAGTGGCTTCTTCGCCGATCGCCTCTACAACAACATGAACGACCCCCGAACTCTGACCCGCATCATAGTTTCCCGAAGTGAAATCGATCTTGGAGATATTAAACAGGAATTTAAGAAACGCTATGGAAAGGAACTTGAAACTTTGATACATGTAAGATTTTTTATTAATTCTTTTAATTTTGTCAGTGATTGCAATACATACTTTTCATACCAAAAACAGAGCAAAGTTGAAGAATTCAGTTAAATAAAAACAGAATAAATCACTTGCAATCATCTTTAAATTGAGCAGTGGTAAAAATTAGGTCCTAATCTTTGATTAAAAAGGAATATGTACATTTACATTTATGTACGATATTAACTGTGATTATCAAAACCTAATCAACATTTTTACTCTACCATAACTCAAATTTAGGGTTGGTTTTAGCGACGTCTGTTGATCTCAGAGTAAATATTTTAACTTTCATGTGTCAGTCTTGGGATATAAGCTTGGTTATCTTTTTTGTTTCAGGAAAACACATCTGGTGACTATAGAGACTGTCTTCTCGCCCTTGTGTCAACATAACTGATTAATTACAAGATTTATACACTATATTGTACAATTTTATGAATATAAAAATTTGCATTTGCTTTGGCTTTGATAACCTATTTTAAATAATTCAATAAATAATAGTTTCTGTTACTTTGTTTTATTACTGACGGGTTTTTTTTTTTTTTTCAAGTTTTTTTATGTAAAATATGAAAAACATTGTAAAATTATGTCTTTCTTAAAATCTGTCTATCTAGTAGGTGGAAAGATCAAAGTAATAGTTTTATTAACGTTAATAAATGTAAACTTTATGTTCTCTAGTACTTAAAATAGTATGGGGTACATGGAGGATTTATTGGATCGTGGTTTATAATGGCTTCTGAAAAGTCATGTTTTTCTATTAAAAGGCTCAAAAAGCCCATGGGCAGAATAGTAAAGAAAGGGACTGCTTGTACTTTTTCTGGATGCGCACCAGGTTCGAAGATAATGTCTCTCACGGGATTTCAGTAAACGTCCAAGAAAAAAAAGCCTTAAATAGAAAAAATACAATAACAAAGATGTGGTGCCAGTAAACGTTGTTTACGCATAAGATAATAAGGTTTTAATTTGTTTTTTTTGAAATACCTTCATTTTATCTATTGTAATACTAATGACTGAACGTATTTTTAGGATTTTTTTTTATTTTATGTTGGAACGTATTTCCATAACTAACATGAGCTGGCTTAAAATTTTTTTAGCTAATATATGATCAATATCATTGAGTTACGGATTTATTTCTTTTTTTTAAGGTCATTACAAAAAATAATGATAGCGATAAGTATGGTAATTCCTATTTCAGATCGTCCTGCAAAGTTTTATCTCGTAAGCAATAACATTTTTTTAAACTTCCGATATTCACTGCACCCTTAGTAGAAAAAATGAAGTTCGCATTTGGTGTGCAACCAATTAGAGCAAGTACAATAATTATGCTTACCTTGGGATCATGTGCCACCAGATACGAAAACTACTACTAAACGATCAAATATTTTTTTGCAATCATCTCGTAATGTTAAATTATTATTCTTTTTTTCTTTACATGTGTTTTGGTGACAAACAATTGAGCTCGAATTGAATTCCAAGTGAAGTTAGACGATTTTTAAATCCTTATTGTAATGAATATATGTAAGTGAATGTAACTAAGCTGAGAGATTTTTTAAACAGCACTTCCGCTTTGGAATGCTAACTTAAATCTTTTTTTAACGACAATAACAGTAGCTACCCATCCATAAACATCCGTCAACCATGCCAGAATGAAACTCTTTATCGGAAATATCTTTATCAAATATGGAGTGGGGATAAGATATTCTCACTATTTAGAATTTTGTTCAGACAAATGAAATATATTTTTTTAGTTTACCCATGTCAATCATAATAGTTCTCTTGCCCACATCAATTTCTAATTCTTCGACTTCTAGTCTTACGCAAAATGATCTTATCAATGGTAATATTATTTGCTTTCTGCATCAGCCTTGGTTCATCGGTACGTAAAAACAAAATTGTATCCTCGTAAGGTAGTAACTAGTAACTATTGACATAAATATAAATGAATTAACAATAAATTTTAGTTCAAGTCTACGGTGTTCCCAAGTAAGTCATTTAATGTGATCGAGGATGTAAGGATACTTTATTACGCCATGATGGGCATCGGCACCGATAAAGAGGCCATTATTAACATCCTGACGAAGCGCTCAATGAATCAGCGACTTTGGATCATACAGGCTTACTCATACCTACACGCTTTCTAACATTTTCTAGTTTATTTTATTGATGCGATGATTATAGCAAGTTCAATAAGTTCGTAACGAGCATCAATTTGAAAAGTAGAAAGTACTCTCAGATAAGGCTACTTGAATAAATGCGAAATTATGAAGAAATTCTTCACGCTAAATTTCAAAATTTCACCTAACATATTGAAGTTTTTTTTTTTTGTGACTCATATGGGGAAAATTACACTTAAGGCTAAAAAATTCCACTTATGCCGGTGTATAAAAGCTTACTTTCGCTCATTGTTAAAAAATATCCTTGCTATTAGAGGCTTGTCTTCTAATCGACGCGGACGCTGTAAAACTGAATGAAAACACCCATAAGCTCCAAAAATTACTGATAAAGAATTTAGAATACAAGTGCATATCAATTATCTCTAACTGCACTTTCTAACTAAAACCCACAATAGAATTTTCACACTTATTAGTCTTACTGATATCTGACCAGCGTTTTAAGTAATAAAAACTATGAAAAAGTATAACCTACGTCTGAAGTGTCGTATCTAATGTCATAACATATTATAAATCAAAATGGTTTCATTGAATTTTTTCTACATAGTATACGGCAGGAGCCTACAGATCGATATACACGATGAAACATCTGGATACTTCCAAACTCTGCTCGATTTACTCGTCCAGGGTAACAGAGATCCACACGATGGTGTCATTAATCGTTTAGCTAAACATGATGCTTGGAGTTTTTCCGGTAATTGTCATATATTTACTTCTACATAAAATATTATAATCTAGTAGAGGGTACTTTAAAATACGAGATACCAATATTAATTGGTTCAAAACTCTTTGAGACAAGAAACTGTGGAAGTCTAACGAGCTTCAATTTAAAAACATCTTCGGCTTTCGCAGTTATCTACAGCTTAGACAAACCTTCATCGAGTTTTTCAATCTTTGCAATTATGATATTGAAAAACGAATCCAAGAGATGGGATTTTCTAGAGATTTCGAGAAGGGACTTCTTCAAATTGGTAAATAAATTGAGGATACTCTCTATGTTGTTTAATAATTGTGGTTTACAGTTTGTTGGTATGTATTAGTTTCTTATGAATCATTTTTGTTTTTTTCAGTGAAACGTGCCAAGTCGAAAAGTGGCTTCTTCGCCGATCGCCTCTACAACAACATGAACGACCCCCGAACTCTGACCCGCATCATAGTTTCCCGAAGTGAAATCGATCTTGAAGATATTTAAGTAGTATTCAAGGAAAATTACGGAAAGGAACTAAAAACCATGATACACGTAAGATTTTTTATTAATTTTTTACTTTCGTCGCTTGATTGCAACTCCTGATCCTCAACTGTAAAATGTGATGTTTCAAAAGATGTATAAGAAGATAAATTGTTTGAAAAAATACTGTACTTAGTAAAATTATGGTTAAATATTTTTTGTCATACCGAGGACAGAATAAAGATAGTTTTTTGTTAATTATGCTTTTTCGAAGTTTTCGTGGTGCAAGTATTTTTTCGTACTTGAAGGTCTTTTTCGGTATCTTTGGACAATTACCGCGCTTTAGTACTATTTCCTTCCATGAGCGTTTTTCGAAACTTTTATACAATATTGTGCCTTGAGTACGAAAATCAAATTTCGGCACATAAGTGTCACCTCGCTAGGGCTATGCAACATATTTGGAGCCAATGTGTAGTCAACAACCCGATAGCCTTGTTGGCAATATGGCTCATGTGACGAAACGTACTATTTTGCCCATTGAGCAACAAGATAATTAAAACAACAATATTACCTTAGTTGTATTTTTTGTTCCAGGAAAACACATCTGGTGACTACAGAGACTGTCTTCTCACCCTTGTGTCAACGTGATTGATCAAAATGACAAGCTTTATATATTATATTGTATAATTTTATAAACTAGAAAACCGCTGCTAGTTCATTTGCCCAAAAGCTTCCACTATTTTTTCGTGATGTTAAAGCAGAGAAATTGACTTCATGAAACTAATAAATGCGAAATGAAATTCAGCTGTGATGAAAAAAAAAAAAAAAAAATCAGTTGAATCAAAATTTTATTTTTAAGCACTTATAAGTATCTAAGAACAAAAAAAAATTTTTATTGTTATTGAAATATAAACATGCGATTCTGAAAAAATATAACCAATAGTGTAAACATACTTATTCGCACCCCCGCACACCCACATACCTAATTTCTTAATACTTATCAATATGCTTTTTTTCACAGAAAATTTCTTAATTTTTTTAGATTTCCAAAATCTACAGTCTCGCATTTTGACGTTTAAAATACTTTATTTTCCATTCCACAAAAAAAATGTAGTAGATAGGGAGATAATAATCGCATCAATATGAATAAATATAAAGTCTATGATACTTATAATAAAATAGGTAGTATTTATTTGGTAACTATTTCTTTTGGCTAGAAACTTTTTTCCATCTTATTATCTCAATCTGAATATTTTTACAGTAGAATAGTAGTAAGATTGTAGTATTTCTGTATGCTCCAAGTAAAAATTGGATTTATTTTTAAGAAAAAGTTTTTGAAGCAATTTATGATACAGGATATGGACAAAATCACTTAGTAGAAATTTTTCCAGAGTCTGATGGAGAAAACAGATAACAAATTTGGTGCTAGAAAAAGTACTGATAACATCATTACTCACGGACAATGCGGTTTTAATTTGTTTGTTTAGAAATACTTTAAATTTATCTACTGTCGTATTAATGACCCAAAGCATATTTAGAATTGGTTGAAACGATTTTATCTTAGGTCTTTTTTCAAAAACTTGAATGAGTTGCCTGAACAAAACAAACAACAGCAATTATTTATACTCAGTGAACCACCAAGCATGTATAAGGTGTAGTCACAGGTTGCTTTTAATTTCTCTATTAAAAAATTGTAAGAAAAAAGTTCAGATTTGAGCTGAATAATTCAATACTTTTGAGTCGAGCTAAAAGATTATCCATTCAATTGATTACAGACATCATGATGAAAAATAATTATAATGATAAGGTACGGTAAAAGGAAATCCCTATTTTAGATCATCCTGCAAAGTTTAATCTAATATTTAATACAATTTAATATCTTTCCCGTAATCATCATTTAATGTCAAAGGATTATTTATTTCTAGTTTGCATGTGTTTTGGTGATAAAGAGCTGAGCTTGACTTGAATTCGAAGTATTTACCACATAATTGTCATTATGAGTCGACCGGATATACTCAAGATTTATATCTCCTTTCGAAATGTTGACATTTCAATTTAACATCAAGATATAAGTCTTATTTAGTTTGAATAAGTCAGGTACGATATTAAAATACAAAACATAATATTAAAATATATTTCTTCGATTAGTAAAAAAGCGTGACGAATCCTCACCTTTATAAAGATTATAAAGAGGTACTTAATTAAATCCATTGTAAGTAAGCAAATTAAAAATATTTGTTAAGTCAGACGATTTTTGGCATCCTTATCGTAATAAATGTACGTAACAAAATCTAACTTAATCCAAGTTTATAAATTGAAGTCAAAAATTAAAAGTGATGATTCACGACAAAATCAATACTATACAAGACCCTACAAAACGTAGTTTTGAGTTATATTAATTTATGAAAATTTATTGTATAAAATAAAAAGCTTTTTTAAACGGGCATTTCCGCTTTGGAATGCTAAGTTGTAGCTCATTTAAATGACAGTAACATTTACTGCTCATCCATAAACACACGTCAACCATGCCAGAATGAAACTCTTTATCGTTAATATCTTTATCGAATATGGAGTGGGGATAAGATATTCTCACCATTTATAATTTTGTTCAGACAAATGAAATGCATTCTTTTGGTTTACCCATGTCAGTCATAATAGTTCTCTTGCCCACATCAATTTCTAATTCTTCGACTTCTAGTCTTACAAAATGACCTTATCAATGGTAATATTATTTGCCTTCTGCATCGGCGTTGGTTCATCGGTACGTAAAAACAAAAAATTTGTATCCTCGTAAGGTAGTCACTAGTAATTATAGATATCTCGATAGATATAAATACAAATGAATTAACAATAAACTTTAGTTGAAGCCGACGGTGTTCCCAAGTAAGTCATTTAATGTGATCGAGGATGTAAGGATACTGTATCACGCCATGATGGGCATTGGCACCGATGAAGGGGCCATTATTAACATCCTGACGAAGCGCTCGATAAAACAGCGACTCAGAATCGCTGAGATTTACTCGTATCAACGTGCTAAGTCCTTAGACTTCGTGAGTCAATTGAAGGAGGAACTTTCCGGTGACTTTAAAAACCTTATTGTGGCGCTTATGACTCCACCACTTACGTACTACGCCAAAGAGATGTACAACGCTATGGACGGCCTAGGCACCGACGAGGACACTATCGTTGAGATCCTCTGTACTTTGAACAACAGCGAGATTAAAACAATGGCTACTGTTTACGAGAAGTGTAAGTATTGAAAAGTTTTATGTTTTATATCTTTTTCGATTAGTCATCATTTTTATCATCATTTTTACTCGTACCGTTATAACTGATTGATCTCTACGGGCCCCATCTAACATACGTACGTGTGAAGGTTGCTTATATTAACTCCACATAAATTCTCAACTACTTTACCATCTCTATATGGTTTCTAATGTAATCAAAGGACTCACAGAGACTATTCTGGGTCACCTGTGGAGCTGTGATAGCTATGAAAGGCAAAAAATTTCAGGTTGCATTCCGTAATGGCCGTCAGTAGTAAGACAATACAAAATTTTCAGTGTTGCATCATGAGGGCGCTGTTTACTGTGTGATTATCGACTGCTACTACTTATTACAGTAAAAATAGACAGCGATTGTACCAAATAACATGTTGCAATAACATTTCAATAATTGAAGTGTTTATTTCTTTAATTCTAACCACACTTCCACACCGAGTAAAAATTTTTTCCCAGATCTGATACTGTTTCTATGTAATATCAAAAATAAATCGTTTCATTGGATTTTTTTTCCACGCAGTATACAGCAGGAGTCTACAGAACGATATTATTGGTGATACGTCTGGCTATTTCCAATCTCTGCTCCTCACACTCCTCCAAGCTGAGAGGGATCAGAGTCAGAATATTAGTTATAACTTGGCTAAGAATTATGCCTTGGAGCTCAACGGATGTAGTAATAAATTTATATCTTTTTATAATACCATGGCATCCTACAAGCATTATATATATTAGGCAAAATATTGGCATTAATCAATTTATTAATTTTTCAGTGGAATGGCTGCCGATACCTACAGAGAGTACATTTCAAAATATCCTCTGCAATCGTAGCTATCCACAGCTGAGAGAAATCTTCATCGAATATTTGTACCTTTGCCGATTTGACATTGAAAAACGCATCGAGAATATTGACTATCAGACAGATTTCAAGAGAGGCCTCCTACAAATTGGTAAACCAAATCGAGGATTCTCTCACTGTTGTTCAATAGTTGTGGTTTTTAGTTCATTAGTGTACTAGTATCTCACAAATGATCCCTTTTTTTAGTGAAACGTGCAAAGTCAAAAACTGGCTTCTTCGCCGATCGCCTCTACAACAACATGAACGACCCCCGAACAATGACTCGCATCATAGTTTCCCGAAGTGAAATCGATCTTGCAGATATTAAGGAGGAATTTAAGAAATGCTACGGAACGGAACTCGAAACTATGATAGACGTAAACATTTTTTATTATTTTTTTTTTATATTTGTCACAAAGTTAGAGGATTCAGTTAAAAAACAGTGAAATCAATTTGCAACAATCTTAGATTTGAATAATGGTAAAAATTAGATAAAAATTATGTCCTTATATTTGATTAAGAAGTAATGTCGACTGATACATTTACGTTTATGTGCGATCCGATCCAAATCAACCTAATAAACATTTTTACTCGGCCATAACTCAAATTTAGGCTTATTTCAATTAATATATATTGCTCTTAAAGGAAATATTGTAACTTTAATGTGACAGGCATAGTTTGTTACTATTTTGTCCAATGAGCAACACAATTTTTTCATCAATGTCAGCTCGGTTGTTTCCTTTTTGTTTCAGAAAAGCACATCTGGTGACTATAGAGACTGTCTTCTCGCCCTCGTGTCAACGTGATTGATCAAAATGAAGTACAAGTTTCATCCATTACATTACATGAGTTGTATAAATTAAATTAATTTGCGTTGCATTTACCTTGTCTTTAATAATTAATTTAATTATATACAATTTCTCCTACTTTTTTTTACTTAACATTTCTCGATTGAAACGCTGTATTTAAATTGGTATGGTTAAAAGTACGTCCATCTACTGGATTACGTTGGATTTAATGAAAAAAGTTTTTTTTTTTTTCTCCTTTTTCAATTACATCAGTATTGGACCTTTCCTTATTACGACTCCACCAAACTTTGGGCATAGCAATGGGCAAACGGAGATGATCTCAATATCAAACTTCCGTCTGTATCAATTTAACGATGTATACGCATTCGCGCCGCTGCCCCCGAGTACTTCCCTCTTTGACCTCTTTCTCTATCTCTCTCTCTCTCTCTCTCTCCACTGTACATACCCGCAAGTTCTCGAAACGAACGGGGAAAGTTTAAAAGAATCAAGAAAGCGTGAAAGCCCTACCTTTGTGTGCTCCGACGCTCTCGTTGTTTTCCGCGGCGAGTGAAATTTCGCGAAATGTTCCACGCGCTTTTGCGACTCTCAAAACAAGGGGAGAGACCCCGGGTGCTTTTGTTTTTGCCCTTTTAAGTTTAATTAACTCGCGAAACGAGAGCAAACGTTTTGCTTTTGGAAAATTCCCACGAGCGAGCTTTTCCGCAAAATATCCACTTTAGATTCTTGATATTCCAGAATTACGGTCAAGCACAAAACTTACACGTTAGTAAAATAATTTTTTTTTTTTTTTTTTTCATCTACGAAATGCATACCACACTCCGCAACCTCCACCAACGATAAATGAGCACACCGCGTCCATCATATTCCTACATCCTGGCTTTTAATATCACCGATTCTCCCTCAATAACGAAGCCGGCGAGCAAACGTCGACGTGTGTGTACCTTGGCCGGGGTCAGCGGAGCGCGGAAAAAGAGCTCTCGCCCCAACGCACACACTTTTATACACATACACGCTTGTACGAGCTTTCAATATCCAAGGAGCTGGCCATGCCTCATATCTCCACCTATATATATGCGAGACGGAGAAGGCCGGATGTGTGTATAATATACACAAACGCATAGCGCAAGCGCTTGCTATATACATACTCCGTTTGCGTTATCAAGTTACGCGTGCACGTGTGTAGAACGGTGACTGATGAAATTGACAGTCTCTCGCACGACAATGTGATCAACGGAGGATGGAGAGACATCCACCTCCATTTCATCGTTTGTTTGCCGTTGGATTTCATTTGTGTGTGCCCCCCCCCCCTCCCCTGTGATGCAAGACCCTCGACATTCGCGTATGCTTGGAAGGAATTGCTCCTACGGCATTATAATATCCACATGCGTTTCGTCGAATGGAGAGTTTACCATACGTGTGTTGTATAATAACCACCAGAGCTTAATTACGATGATCAGGTTGTGCGTACGTAAATCTCGGGATAGGTCAGTTGCCACGCTACGATCAATAAATTGCAGAATCTTTGGAATTGAAGGGGGAAGACCTCGATTGACTCAATGCCGAGAGTATCGAATTTTACCAACCACGTCTCGAGAGGGGATAGCTCTTGAATTCGGGATGAGAGAAAGCTTGTTCCGTATCGTCCATTTGGAGTGGGTTTCGGGCATGTGTTATACGCTTCGGATTATCCTTTCGCAGCTGTCCCTCTCCATCCGTCGAACTTTGTACCACTGTGTCCCTGGAAATTTTTTCCCCTTTTTTTTTTTTTTTTTTTTTTTTTCTACAGTGACAGATCTCAACCTGCGCCCCGGCACTCATCATCCCACTGAAACTACCAAACTCATCGAGCCATAGCTCGTAACAATATGTATGAACATATATATACATGGATGCCTACTCCATACATTGTAAGCAGCCGATAGTCGGTGGTTGGTTCGTATATAAATCGAGCCAAAGCACGTCGTCCCTCGCATATAACCATAAGCCAGCTTGGCCCATTCGTATAAACTCGAGGCGCAGACGTCTTCCTTATCGTCGCCGCGCACCCGTCGAGACTTACCCCAAGTGGCCCCCGCAGGCTATACAAGAGTAACCATATACACATAGGGGCGAGGAGGAGATGGGCGATAAGCAAAACCCAGACTGGTCGTCTGTCCACGATCGCGCCTAATGTACACGTCGTCGCCGTCTTCGTCCCGAAGCAAATTGGCTTTTGGAACGCAAACGCCAATACATTTACGGAAGGGAGTTTCGATTTTTCCTTTTTTTTTTTTTTTTTTCCTTTTTTTTTCCAACCTTCGCGGGTGAAAAAACAAATTGCAAATCACATGCCGTATAGTTTACGTACCGCGTATAATCAACGACCACGGACTATATATACGGCAAATAATGTCGAGCCGGACGTGTAGCATTAGAATCCGATTTTGGGCCATTGAAACCAGCTCGTGAGCTCACCTTCAACGGTACATGCATATCGAGTATACGTGTACGCGTGTGTTTGTATTTACAAGTGTAGTACAGGCCCGTGTGTGCATACCTGGACTGAATTTCGACTACCGGAAATCAACAGTCCAGACGTGTGCGGTATGCGGGGGGGTTGGTGGACTACTCGAGCACGCGCGACCGGTACATATCCAGGTATATTACATACATACGAATACCTCAGCGCTCGTACATACGTATATGTAGATGCGGGGAGGGTAAATTTAGGTCGGCATATCTCGAAGGGTCGCGTGCACATCGTCAGATATCTGTAAGCTCGCGAGATATCATTCAATGGTCCCTTCCACGTGAAAGGGAGATGATTTCGTTTCAATGTACGGTTGTTTCGTGCGGCTAACGAGAAAGAGACGCCAAATTTAATTTTCACGTGGTTTTGGCAAAAGTACAGAGCAAAGGGTGTAGAGGAAGCGCCCGCATGCAGCGATACTACCGACGAGGAGTTACAGCTCCGGGGGTATCCATTGTACGTATAGTGAATAGTCCATCCTCGTCGATTCGCGTAATTGGATTATTTTATATCACTCCCGGTCGCGCACTTACTTACTTACTTACTCACGTCCCGAAGAAAACAGCTGCGCGACTGAATTAGATCCCTTTGTTTTTTTTATATCACCCTCGTAATTGATTTTCGTGCAGTGTTACATAGGGGATGGATTTTTGGACGAGGGCTCGAAAAACTCGGGAATTACGGCACGTGCTGATTTTTTTTTTCCTCCGTGACGATAAGTGAGAGCACCGCGGAGAAGCCAATGTTATAGAAGTAAGTAGTCTCGAAAAGGGGGGGGGAAAGAACATTTAATTGGAACCATAGAAATTACGTCTGTACGAGGGAAAAGGGTGTTAAAATACACTTCTGTCCGTGAAAAAAAAAAAAAAAAGCTTATGAGCTATTAGAAAATGAATCCACGTTATTGTCTTGGAGATACTGCTAGGCATGTGTGTGTATATATGCGGTGGCGCCATATAGTACTGATAAATAATTCAAGGTGAATATCGCTCGCCATCGACACCTCGATTCAAGTCACTCGAAAAAAAAAAAAACCCCAAAGTCCCATCCTCGGAAAAACTTGGAAAAGTGGCGGTATAACTCTGCGCGTATGAATAATGGAGGATATGCACCGTCAATTATCTCCGTAAGGTAGGGGAGAGGATACAGAGACACTCTCGAGTAGAAATCCGCGCGAAACTGAGACGGAAAGAACTTGGTTATCCGAGAATCGAGTTACCGAGACGACGAATAAATCATCATCGTCTCATAGATATATACACATACCCGGAGTCTAACTTTCCCGGGTATACATACACATCGAAGCGCGAAACAGTCTCTGGGGAATGTTTTGGTCTGTTTGCGAGTCAGCGGTTTTTGTGTACATATATATACACTCATGAGGTAGTAGATAGGATTTTCAAGTGACTTGCCAGAGCTCGAGATTTTACTTCAAATTAATAGCCCAAACAGCACTTGTGAGATTTATACTATGTATGTTGTCCTACGTTAATTTTAACGAGTCAATCTATGGTAACGTTTAACAGAAAAAAAAAAATTCATCTATTCGCCTTGTATCCCATATATATACTCGGTTGTGCCAACAACAAACGCATAATATACAGACACTTCATGGCAGCTGGCGGGCTCTATACATACTTAGAGTTTCGCGCAACTCTAGCTGTGCATTTTATAGACGTATACGAGAGAGAGAGAGAGAGAGGAAGGCGAGTGCGATGATAATAAGTGCGCGACGATAACGACACCGACGCCGACCATTATTTTCCAGCGAGTAAATAGCCCCAGAAGGGATACACAATGGCGCGCGAGGAAGGAGAGGCTCGAGCGAAGCGCCGGGGCTTCCTTTCATTATAGTCGCTCGCTGTTTATACCGGAGGTCACTCATTCACCGACGGCTTCTTCTTCTACTTCTTCATTGTCTCTCGAAATTCAGGGATCGCTTTTTCCCTTCCGACGCCTCTTTGTTTTTTTTCCCTTCCGCCTTCGGGGTTTTCTGAAATGAAAAAAAAAAAAAAAAAATGGCTTCGATCGCTTGGAAGAGGAAGACGTTTGGGGAATTATCGCGGTGACAAAGAGTATCGACACACACGGAGCGTGTTTGGGGCGCAAAACTCGTGGGAGCATTTATAATAAAAAACCATTTGGGCGACGGATGCGAAAACACACGGTATACGTACAACTTTCAACTTAAACGGGCGTCAGTTTCGAGAAGGTCTTTATCAAATTGTTAAGCGAAACTTACGTGTGGCGGGGGGGGGGGCCATAAAACAGTAGCCGTTATTGCACGGGGAGAGAAAAACTTTTCCGTGCCGTATCACGGATGAGCACGTGCTCCAAACCCCCTTGCGCCCATCACTTGCCGTGTAATTTCGATTCAGTGCGGAGCTCCCATCGCTCGATGATGCCCGAAATACCCCAGAGTCCCGATATCGAGATCACTGCGGAAGTGCGATTACAGTCCAAATAACTTGTTTTTTCGGCGCCCCCGTGCGCGACTTGTAACAGCTTGATAGTCGTGCCATTAAAAGGCCAGGGAAGTGGAAAAAGTTGACCATGTATATCTCACCCACGAGGATGTTGTAAAAAATGGCGTGGAATGGCTCGACAGAGTGAGTATATAACTCTTATCGCGTATTCCCCACGCAGCCACGTACAGGTATGTAGACTTCATTTCCTCGTCAAAGATGAAAGTGTACACAGAAAAGGCGAGCTGCCACTGTTTTCGCAGTGGGGACTGCGGGGAATATTCGCCACCTTCGGAAAGCCAATCTCGGTGAGTACACCCACCCACGTAACCGAATAAGGGAGAGAAACTCTAATCGAAAGGAGCAGCGAGCAATCATACGTCTTTTGTGCCGTTGCGCACGGAAAATTCAATGCGGGCTCTCTCTACATGTATACACACGAACGGATGTCGTATAGATGCAGTTGGAAAAGGAGGAGGAGTACACGTCGGGGCCCGAGCGAGAGAAAAGACGTAAGCGGTGGCACGGGGGTAGGGGGAAAGGGGCTCCTTTGTAGGTACTACCTACAAATTCGATTTCTCAGCGGAGACGTGAAGTGTGTGTGTATAAAGAAGGGGAGGGGGGCGAATAAATGCCCCTGGTATGATCGTTGCAACGTGTATCGAGAATTCATCCATAGCGAAATGACGCGATGGAGTCCTTTTTTTTTTTTTTTTTTTTTTTTTTTTTCATCTACGAAATGCAAACCACACCCCCCAACCTCCACCAACGATAAATGAGCACACCGCGTCCATCATATTCCTACATCCCGATTAGTAAAAAAGCGTGACGAATCCTCACCTTTATAAAGATTATAAAGAGGTACTTAATTAAATCCATTGTAAGTAAGCAAATTAAAAATATTTGTTAAGTCAGACGATTTTTGGCATCCTTATCGTAATAAATGTACGTAACAAAATCTAACTTAATCCAAGTTTATAAATTGAAGTCAAAAATTAAAAGTGATGATTCACGACAAAATCAATACTATNGGAAATCTTTTTTTTTTTTTTTTTTTTTTTTTTTCTATACACCGTGGAACGGTAGTGGAAATGTAGTGCCATCAAGTTGCGTACATCGAGATGAAATATATTTGTTGTTGGTATTGCTTTTATATCAGCGCGAGTATCGAGAAATTAAATTACCTACAACTTTTTATGATTCTTCTTTTTTCTTCCACGATAGTACATACATAGGTATACATATAGAGAGGAGGGAGTTGTACGTCGAGCTTACAACGTCGTACAAGAATAAGATAAGCGGCCCAAAGAGGAGGCAGGGGGAGGTATCTCCCTTCCTCGTAAACTTGTAAATTTACGACTCTGCATGTGAAGCCCGTTAATAACGGGGAGCTGGCGTCGTTTACCCGCGAAATTCCAGGCACTGCCTACATGTATATGTATGCTCGTTCCTATACGTAACTTCCCGTATACCAAGCCTTTTTCGTTCACTGTTACATGAGCACACGTTCGCTTGGCTTTGCGTTTCGATAGACGTGCATCTTCTCCGTTACACGGCAACTGATCCCTCGCGTGCTGGAACACAAGCGACCAAAGAAGGTACATCTCGTTGATATTTGCGCTCCTCGCCCGTTGATACGCGAATCGCGTGATTAATGCAAAGGGATAACGTATACGAGTACACACGAGTCGAGTACGGAAAGGTTGACGACTTACTCGTCGGTATATAACACGAAGGGGGAGAAGTGAGCGTGCGCGTCGTCGAGGTGGCCACCCAGGATTTTAGGGAGCTCCTTTTGTTTTTCCTCACCGCAGAAAAAGCTCCCTCTCGTTGCCCAGCTTATCCGTCGACGCCGATCCGGATACGTATATTATATTCCAAGCAGGAGGGTATATCGTGCGTGTATACAGAGAACAAATGAGGCCGTCCCGCCGTTGGCGTGACATTTCTGTCGACGAGCGACAAGTTCTCGCGTGTAAGGGACGCCTATACATTTATTACGTTATTACTCGTTTGGTTAAATCGTACATAACTTATATTCATAAATTCACGGGCTGACCACGTGCCGTGAGTTGGTTTTTTTCAAAAACGAGTCGTCGACACGGGGTACGAGGGACCACCGTTATTTGTACCTCAGGCCTGATATCGCTCGCGCGACTCGTAATAGACATTTCGAGAGCTCTCCATGGAGTAATTAATACAAGATGATACAACTGAGAGTGCCTAGCAGCGGAACAATGAGGAAAGCCTCGCTGTTCGTACACGACGCGATGAGAATAGAATTGCCGCGCCTAAGGAAAACGGAGGGAGCGAGGAACATTTTTGCGTGTATATGCATCGAGTCTTGTACGGCTGAGCACCCGGGGCTGCGTGTATCAATAATACGCTCGCACGGAGAGGCCGGATGATTAGGGCTGGAAAAGCCCTCCTATGATCGTGTCGTATACGGTTCATCCGAACGTGCACGTGTATTTTACACGAAGGAAACGTATTACTTGTGTAGCTTCGCGTGCGGTCTGATCGCACGTTGACCCGCACTACTTGCGGGGTCCTATTCAATTTCGTTCGAGGTTTCGTACGTTAATTTACCACACGGAGCTCCCTCCGGTCACTCTCGCGACCTCAATTTCATCGGGTAAATACCCCACCCACGCATTCAGAAAGCACGTGTCACCCCAACATAGCGTTGAAAGAAGAAGAAAAAAAAAAAAAAAAAAAAATCACACCACGGCTAATCCCTCGATACTCCAATCACCGTTTCAGACCTGATAATTGCAGAGAGGGAGCCGATTAAGCGCACGTTGCTGCCATTCACGCGTTACCCCCGTCACAAGCGCATAACCATTTTCCACGGAGCACACACACGCGTCCATAATTACATATAGTCACGTACGGCGTTAATACACGGCACATAGTGGCGGGAGCCGAGTATATAATATAGTGTAGCGGGCTTTCATTTACCTCGGATTCAAGTGAAAACTCCATCATCAAGTGGGTCTCGATGCGGGACTTTGACTCGGAATCGTCGGGGCGCACGTGTGCTTGTTATTATGCACACGCGGGGTATAGGTACAGGGAGTTTGTCGGGAAACTCATCCAATTAACGTCTCGTATACGACTCGAACACAAAGCACGATTATGCGCACAAGAGGCTGTGGTATAGCTTGATTCACACACGCGCGCAATTTTTCTTTTTTTTCTTGTTTTTCGCAAAACAAACGCGAGAGCAATACGCGTACACATTAATACCCGTAAACAGTGGCAGCAGTGGAAACATCTTCGAGATGGATAGGGGAGCTTATCTCATCGTGCTCCAATCGTCGCGTAAAAGAATCACAGAGTCGAGAGTGTGACCCCGGATGGACTATTATCGGTAAACGCGTCTCATATATATACATTTAACTCATCGCCCCATTATGTATATATATATACGCGTTGGAGGAGATCGGGTAAACACCTGGGCGCCCGGAGATAACGAGCACCGGGGAGAGCTTGCAGTTTTCGAGCATTACGTTGGGGGCGAGAGGGTTCGATGATTAAAAGCGGCGCCGGTCGGCAGGCGCGAGCGTATATGTTTGAGCTCCTCCTCTTTCGTTAATGGGGCGCTCGAAATGGAGATTGTCCCCCGAACAAGGGGGGCCCGGGGCAGAGGAAAAAAGAAAACGAGAGCAGAGATGAAGAAGGAAAAAAAAAAAAAAGAAGGGTGCTTATTACTTGCCGCGACCTGGTGCGTCTTTTGGCTTTTATTTGTCTCCCAGGTGGATCTCGTGTTTCGGAGGGTCAAAGTACGCGGGAATGAGAGACAAAGCCGGCCTTTCCTGCGCTGTAGTAGCATAACAGTGGAAAAGAAAAAGCAAGATGAGGTAGGTACGTGGGGGAGCAAGGGAAATTGGGCCGATTTTTGAAAGGGGCTCGCGCGCTGGAAAAATTATTGGAAATAAGTACGGTGTGCGCGTGTTCGCTATAACATGCATTCCGATGAAAAATACTCTACTTTTATAGTTCGTATTGAACAATGAGCGTGAAAAAAAAAAAAAAAAATTGTTTGAGAAATGAGAAATTCCGATTAAAAGAAATATGTACACATGCACAAGTGGCTACAAACTCTTTTTTTTTCTATTTTACGCTCCAACATAGAATTTTTTTTTTTATATATATATATATATATACAGTACGTGGAGAGAAAAGCGATCGTTTCTCGACTCAACGACACTTTGGGGCACAATATGGCTTTTATCTCTTTATTCGTTTATGGCCCCGTGCAGCTCCGAATCTCACAGCCGACGTTATACGCATGGTGCCCCGACCCCCCCTCGTACGAGTCGAAAAACACATAATCTCCGTGTTGTAAATCCCGTCGCGTGTATTTTTTCGTACATCCTTTTACGCGCGACATCCCCGCGACGTCTTTTGATCGGAGGCGCTTCCCAGGGAANCTACCGTATTACCTATATATATATATATATTTACATGTAAGGGTGCAACGTACTCACTATACCATTGGTATAGTACATGGATTTAAAATTCTGACGGAAAATCAAGAATAATACGTCGCAATTTATAGTCTATCGATAAACTGATTCATACAAATGACTTTAATGAAACTATAAGTATATCCCTACAAGGATTCGATACAATAGAAAATCATCGATGCAAATGTTGTACGCTTGGAATATGTGTTTGTTCTTATTTGTTTTTTAGATGATGGAAACTACAAGAGAAGAACTGATTGTCGTACAATCGATAAAGTTCCCTCGATATTTTCTCGAGACAATTTTTTAAAGACGATGTACTTGCAAATTCGTTAAATTGCATACTCCGACAAAATGACGAATCATTCATGAAAAGAAGACTCCAAAGTAAACCGGAGCTTAAACTGAGATACGAGACACCATTAGCAGGAGATTCAAGAAAAAAAAAGGGGGGGGGTGAGTGAGTGGGAGGAGAAGAGAAGATTCCACCTGAGGCACTGTACCGGCGGAACAAGAGAGCAGCAAAACTCCTCTTTACCTCTCGGAGCTCGTTGTTCGGGCTGAAGTAGCTGGTACACACGCGAAGCACCCGATACAAGCGGTACTCGAGAATTACTTCGACAACGGCCCATTAGGTACGCGTCCGCGTGTACTATTACTACATAATAATGGCCGCAAATTATTTGCGAGTGCAGCTCCGGGCCATCAGCCTTGACTGTCCTTTTTTTTTTTTTTTTTTTTTTTTCTCTCCTTGCGCTGCTACGCGCGTAACGACCTAATAAGCTTCATTACTCGCTTATGCAGGCAAGATGCGAAGCCACTTTTCTTACTCACTGGGCGAAAATTTTTCCTCCTCTTCTTTATACTCTCGCCCCGTGTATGACGAAACTTTCCTCCTCCTCGCGTTGGTCACGCATCTCTTTGTCCGGAGGCTATACGCTGAGTCCCGAGTTAGTTGAGTGTCAGAGGTGCTTACGTCACGTTGACGGAGGACACTATTACCATTACAACTACTATTATCATACTAGTTCGTGGCGAGGAAAATTTCGCTATTTATTTGGGAAATTTATTCACGTACGTACACAAAATATACAAATAATTATCATAGAATAGTTACATGTTTTCCTCGGTTATTGCTTTACTTGCTGTTTTTTGCGAAACTGCTATAGTTTAATCTCGATTTTAAATCTCAATTATGTTATTGTAATAACAAAAATTGTTTTCAATCAAACTTATTAGTTTTACAAATTTGTTCACGTCAAATTATCAAAAGGTGATAATGAATTGTTTTTAAAAATTTATCATAAATATCGCTTGAAAATTTCGTGAAAAAAAGATAGTGCAATTAATGAATATTTCTTATATACTAATTTTTGTAAGTTTCCGATAAAAGAGTTTTCATAAAAAACAAAAGAAAAAAGAAAGAGATAACTGAACTAATTTTAACTTTTCAAGATTAAAAAAAAAAAAAAAAATTTATCATACCTTGTAAGTTACAGTTATTGTGAAAATTGCATAAAAAAATGTTGTTCTTGAAACACCACTCTGATCATAGACCCTCACACTCATATGCGTACATACAGACATTTTTTTTCGAAAATTCGATCATTACACGGTAAAACTTGTTTTTACCACACATGTAAAGAAGCTATATTTTAGACCGATATACAAAGTTTCCTCCGCGAGAAAACGAAGAGGAAAAAAAAGGTATCGTAAAACAGCACGTTACTTTCTATAAAAACAAGAAAAACAACTTTATCGAATGTCCAATCGAGCTCGTCGCAACGAAAGCATCCAAACTCACCGCAACCGAAACAAAACAAAAAGGAGGGAAGCTCCAAACTCAATTACACCAGTCGGACTAAATCACCCCCAGCCGCGCCGATCACTCTCCAACGGATCCACCAGCGCGTGCAACAAACGCGTATATATACACACAGCACCCCCCGCTTGCGCGCAGCCGAGGTGAGAAAATTACACTTTGCTCGGGAGTCGGATTTATTGCTGCCTCGGACTGTTGAAAGACTTTTTCCATCCGTATATACACGCAAACGACAAAAGCCGAGTCGGCCCAAAGTAATAAAATTCAGAGCAAGCCGAGGCATCAGTCGGACGACAGTCGATATTCCCAAGTTTTATTGGATCCCAGCTCTCGACTTTCCGACTTTTCCCAAGTGCAAGCCGGGGCTCGATGTCGGATGAACAATGAAAATTTTAAGGTATGCAAATTCGCCATTCCTGGGGGAGCGGGATCTCCTGAAGCCGTTCGGCGCGCGATTTGGTATTCCGAGACCCGCCGGCGCCCAAGTCGACGTGTATATATACGTACACGGAAAAGCGAGCCGACGAAATTAGGCTTATCTGGGGGGGGGGGAATGTGTGCCAAAGTAGCGGGGGAGGGAGAAAATCATTGCGCGCCAAAAGCCATTCGAGCTCATGATCGAAAGTCATTAGAGGCTTCGTGGGTGACGTTGATGTATGTATTAGTGGTTTTGTTGCCGAGTGCGGACCGTGTGTGAAACTTTGTCATGTGGTGAATTTTTTTGCTCTCTATTGCTTCGTTTTTGTATCGTAACGAAACGTAGTAATTGAATAAATAAAAATAATCAACAAGTACTTTTTGTGCAAATTACCAAGTTAAATACACCATCGCTTTCAAAGGGAGTGGAAATCTTTTTTTTTTTTTTTTTTTAGTAACAGGATACAAGTTGCATCGCAAAATAATTGAAAAAAAGCTGGGTTTGACACACAGAGCCCTCAAACATTTAAATAAAAGAGAATTTTACTTCTGCCTCTGCGTGTAAACACAAATATTTGCAAAACGAATTTTCGGCGATAATTAAAAGCTTTTTGGTAAAACATGTATTTTATTAAATGTGAAAAAATTACGGAGTACGTTTAGCTCGACATTTAGGATAAAACATGCGTGTAGTGTATAATGGCGACTGTCACGTGCACAATTTGACTCGATATGAGCTGACGAACAAGACTTTTTTTTCTTCCCCCGTGTATATGCGTGGAAAAATCATACGTGGTTGCAAAACCCGTATCACTACAACAATTTTTTTCAATTTCCAGTGCAACCGAAAAAATTGAACAAAGCACAGCTGACGCAGTCTATAAAAGCTGTACAAAAAAAAAAAAAAAAAAAAAGTTCGCTAGTAACTCGAAAAAAAAACCGAAAATAGCTTTGGATGTTATTTTGTTTGGCCGTAACTGACGGGGCCGTTGTATGCATCCGCAGCCATTTGTCTGGGCTCGCGGAGCGAAAATTTCACGTAACCCCCGCCGCGTATCGTATCGCGCGACCACTATCTAACTCGCTCCGAGTAAATTTAACACGCGCGGGATTTGTGCCACTGTCCGCCTTTTCCGGCTTTTATTTGCGAGATTAAACTGGCAAAGTGCGCGGGGATTTTAGATTTTTTAACGCGAGTGAAAGGTCGTTTATCTCCTCGGAATGTACACGCGAAACAAATTAAGGGGGCCCTGTTACCCGAAATCGTCTTGGTTTTTAAATTTGATAAAACCATTTTGTTATATCGCAGATGTAGGAATCGTTTTTAAGAAAAGTAAAATAAAAACTACATACTCTGTTTACGTAGAAATTACTCTTTCGTGCGTGTTTTTTTATCGACTCTAGCCATTTTTTTCCGTATTTCTAGTATTAGGTATTTCTAGCGGAACAAGGACTACGTGTCAAAACTTAATTCGATAAAAAGTTGAGCTTGGAGTTCTTTCTTGTCAAGAAAATTCACGCTTCTAATACACTTTCAACTTTTCAAAGCTACTTTCACCTCTTGATAATAGATTTTCGTATACGTTTACAGATTGAAATCGTGAAAAATTTTATACAACTTACGAATCATGTTCTATATGGCTTGATTTCAATCATGAGAAAACTTATGACGAATCATGGAATACATCTAAATAAATTTCAAATAATACTCCGCTACCTCGTAATTGTTGGATCACAGTGAGCTATTTTTTTTTTTTTTTTCATAAATAAATTCACGTAAAAACTTTATTCAGCGTATATAATATATATATACAGAGCTTCCTTGATTTTCCGTTACACGTATACTGTATCACAAGCGCACTCGTAACGCATGAAGTACCTCAAACCTATAATTAAACGACCTACAACGAGGGGCCTCGCCGAGCCAATAAGAGCGCAGCGCCATGAAAAAAAAAAAAAAAAAAAAAAAAAACGAAGGGGTCCGCGTTTCTAATAAAAGAAAAACCACAAATAGGCGTTTATATATATGTGCATCGTCGATGAGTGTAAACGACTGCGTGAATCGTACCTCCACGTCGTACGAATCGCCTTGAACCTTATAATATACGCGGTAAACCGGGGGGTAAGGGAGTAGACTCTGTAAAAGCGGCCGATAAACGTTGGGATACGTAGCGCGTGCACGGGATGAAGCGACACCGGGGCCACGGCGTGTGAAGAAGGCAAGGGCGCGACCACGCGACGCACGTTTTATGCACCGATAAAGTTTACACGGCTATTCTCGTTTGCTGCCGATGATACTATAACATCTACATTTTTTTTTTTTCTTTTCAAGTAAACATTAAATTAGTGCACGAACTCGTCTTTCGCTTGGTGTGTTTATCGTACCTCATAAGCAAAGTAAAATTAATCACACCCCGTTGTCAACAACGCGGACTCGCGTAATCCGGAATCCGGATAAACACCGTTAACGCCCCGACGCGATACCGTTGGAAGGCTCCGCTGTTAGGGTGTCTCGGAATCTCCAGACCGAGCGCTCGCAGACGGAGCCGGGAGAGTCGCTGCTGGGTGGAATTGAATTTTCGTATCTTTCGCCGATCCGCCTCAAAAGTGCAGAGGGAGAGAGATTTGCCCATCGTGGGCGTCGGTTCTGTCGCGGTTAATGCAATAGAGGCCCCATCACCTACATACCACGTGGATACGTTGGAGTCAAAACTCGGTGAGATGTATTTTTATCCTCCAGCCTCGCCTGAGATATGTATTTCCGGCCAAGTGCCTCTATACTATCGGTACTGTATCCCACGAAAAAAAAAAAAAAAAAAAAAAAAAAACTCGATGTTTGTTGGTCAACTACAGTAACTATTTACAAACCTTTTAGTTTTTTGGCCAATTCTTTGGTGAAGATAACATTGGCTAATTTACTTTGAGCATAGGCTTCACCAGGATCATAGTACTCGGAACTGTTTAAATCATGAAGTTTGAGATTCCCCCTTAGGTGAGCTAAGCTGGATACATTCACGATTCTGGCAGGAGCAGAGGCTTTCATCGTGTCGAGCAATAGATTAGTCAATAGAAAGTGGCCCATGTGATTCACACCTATTTGCATTTCGATTCCATCCTTGGTGAAACTGTAAGGGGTTCTCATAACGCCGGCGTTATTAACGAGAATGTGCAGATTTGAATGTTCTTTTTTGAACAGATTCACAAAATCTCTGATACTCTGCTGCGAAGCCAAATCGCATTCTCTGCAGTAAACGTATTTATTCTTGGTCTCGAAAACAATATCTTGTCGAGCCTGAAAATAGTACATTTTATCAAAACTTGAACCACATATCGGCTGTGAAAGCAGTTTTATTTACATTTTCGCATTTTATCATGTCACGACATGCCATGATAACTTTTGCATCTCTCTTTGCCAAGCCAAAAGCCACTTCTTTTCCAATTCCGCTATTGGCACCGGTGACAATAGCCACTTTGTCTGTCAACTTTTCCTTCCCCTCGTACATGGAACCACTATAATAATCCCTGAAAAAATATAAACTTTTCAACGTGATCGTGACCACAAAACATCAAGTCGCACGTACAACAGTACGTCCTCGAATTATCAACAATTTGGTTTTCAATCTGTAATAAAATGAAAATAAAAAAATCATTTTGTACCTAATACATACTTGACTAGATAGGAAACTCCGTACAACGCTGCAAATGAGCTTCCCCATAAGAGTGGCTTCGGCAGGGAACCCATTGCGAGAGTGACTAAACACTACTTGTTTGAAAAAAAATTTAGTCTCAACTCAACACATGATTAAAAGACCAAAGTATTTATTTGTTGTCAAACTGATAAGGTTAAGACGGACGCAAATTGAAACACGCACTTTCAGCGGCACGAACCTCGCGATGTCTCGGAGACAACTGTTCGATCAACCGTCGACAAGCGAGACAAGCACTGGTAAGTATATTGTGTTCTTACTTCTTAGTAGCAAAGGTGGACGAAAACAAACACAGATGGCTTTCGATAGCAATAAAATCTAGCAGTCAGCTGCAAAAAGTGAAATCACTGTTTAATGTGCGTATATTATATATTTTGACGAAGTGTGTTGTGCATATCAACAGGTCAAATGCTCGCGAGTTATTTAAATGAGGTGCAAATCGATTTAAGACCAAAGAAATTGATGTAACAATGGGGCTTTGCGCTTATCCAAGATCCAGAATGTGAAAGAGAACTGTCCGTTACGATTTAACGAGCTGTTATTGTTTCAACAATAATTTGCACTGTCAATCGTTTGATTACACGTGTACAAGTATTAGGGTACATTTTTCTTTTATTTATCAAGCAAAATGTTTGCAAGATTCGTAAGATTAGCTGGTAGGATCAAGCTGCAGCAGAGCAGGTCATTAGGTTATGCTGCTGCGGAGTTGGGAAGAGTAAGTAAAGTGTTTTTCGAACCAAATTTTTTTGTCCTCTGCAGTTTGGATTTATTGTTAATTAGCAATGTGGCAACGGATCGAGGCGCAAGACCTTTACTCCAGGGACTCCATTTTATATTTCTGCCTTATGGGGCATTACCAAGAAGACCGGAGACGACAAGTCTTTGACGAAAAAAGAGCTGCTCATAGCCAAGGCTGATGCTCTGTTTGATCAGGAGGAATACAGGGAAATTTACAAGTTACTCAATAGCTATAAGGTAATTGATTTACTTGCAACTAGGATGGAACTTTCAAAGGACATTCATAATCTTATGGTGTTGCTTTGTGTATGGTAGGAAAACAAGGATGTTGAAATTTTGTGGCGACTTAGTCGTGCTCTGTACAAAATGTCCAAACTAGAATCTAAAGAGGTTGAAGCAAAGCAATTAGTTTACGAGGCTTACGACGTGATCTGCGAAGCTCTGAGTCTGCAAGAAGATCATTGGGCTGTCCACAAGTGGATTGCAATTTTGTTAAATTCCAAAACATCGTTCGAGGGAACTAAAATAAAGATCAAGGAATTGTACAATATCAAGAAGCACATGCTGGTAAGCTGAGAACGTAAAATTAAGTGTTTTTTTTTTCATACACGCTGAAGTTAATCGGAAAAAAAAATTACAGAGAGCGGCTGAGCTCAATCCTAAAGATGCTACTACTCTCTATATGATTGGCAATTGGTGCTACCAAGTGGCAGATCTGGCGTGGTATCAGCGCAAGATAGCATCAGCTATTTTTGGGGAACCCCCAACTTCTTCGTACGAGGAAGCTTTGAATTACTTTGAACTAGCTGAGAAAGTTGATCCCAATTTTTATAATCACAATCTTTTGATGCTTGGAAAGACATATTTGAAACTAAACAGGAAAGAGGAAGCTATCTATTACTTGAAAAAAGCTTCAGAGTACTTGGCTAAGACTGAAGATGATCTTGAAGCTAAACAAGAAGCAATGAAAATTTTAGACAATTTATGATGTAAGTGCGTAATCATAATGATAATTCATAATTTTATCTCTAATACAATTTTTTTTTACAGAAATCAAGTATTATACGTTTAGACTGATAAAACACTACCGTATTACCTTCTAATGTCGTGATTCTTCTCAATCTGGGTTGGTTTGGTGTCTTTTTATATCAAGCAATCTCCAACATTAAAAAGGAAACAGCTATATTAAATGCATAGTACACTATCATTGGTAATGTTGGAATCATAAAATTTTAAGGTCCGGCACTGGGCTTTGATGGAAAACAATTTTACAATCTGTCCAAGCTGCAGTGTAGCATGTGTAATTCCATATTATATATTTTTTATAAATCAACTTTTCATGGAAGTACAATAATAAAGTATATTTGATTTTACTCTGACAAACAGACTGCGTGAATACTCACTAAAAATGATCTTTTGATAGATTTTAATTTTTCTGCAGATGTAAGAATAAGATGAGAAAGTACGCGGATAAGAGTCCAGAGTTACGATTCCTACTTAATTGAACGTGACGAAGATGGAAGCGGTGTATTCGCGCATGAGAGAGGCGAAAATTAATTACACTCACGTTGCGTGAGTATAATATATACACGCTCGAGGCGTCTCGAGGGCTGAATGCAAAAAAGGCAAATTTTTTGCGGCGGAACTAATGCGAAGGGACGCGCGTATACATGCACCTTTTGCGAGGCGGAGGACTCGTGACAGGATCGTTTATGCTCAACATGCGTCCGCTCGCTTAAGGAAATTAATAAGAAAAACAAGATGGAGAAACGGAGCAAAAAAACAAAAAAAGGACCACTTGGCGGGGAAAAGGAGATATCTCGAATGGAAAAAAATAAAAACAACAGAGTATAGGTGCTTGAGGGCGGTGGAATAAATTAAACGAGGATGAAATACGAATTCAGTTTTTACAACTTTGTTTTTTTTTTTCCTTTTTTTTTTTTTTTAATCATTTAAAATACAACGCTCTGCTTAAATACTTCTACGTATGCGCTATCGAAAAAATCGCAATATTATATTATTACTACACGTTTAAAATCGTGCAGCGCATCACACGTTAAAAAGGTACAAATTAAAATATCATTTACACGCCTTGCCGCAATTTTCACCAAGCATCCATACACACACTTAGTAACGGTATACACAGCGAAGCGCGAACCTCGCGAATAAATTAATTCTCTCTACGTACACTTCTTAGACACATTCGCTATATTCACACGTAAGCTGGAAAAGTACAATCATCTCGTTCGATGGGATGTGTACCGATAATAGTCCGTACATATGCCCGACTACTTGCACGTGTACTCCTCGATGCGTTCGGTGCACGTGTCGCACTGCACTTTGCAGCACCAGATGAACTTGCACGCGCACTGCCAGGTCCGCGTGTACTGGTGCGTGTTGTAGCCCCGTCCGCAGCACATGAGATCGCAGCCGTGCGTTTCTGCGAAAAAAGGAGGAAAAAAAAAAACAACGTCAAAGCTTGTATCGAAGGAAGAGAAGAAAAAAAAAAAAAAAAAAAAAAGAAAAAGATCGCGCAATAAAACGAACCTCGCTCGCGCGTACCTTTGCTGGTCCGGTTGCAGTACCTGCCCTGGGTGCCGAAGCTGCCCTGCTCGAGATCGGGCTCGCAGTAGTTGGGCGACTGTTGGAGGTAAACGAGCTCGCTGCGCTTGGGAAAGCGCTTCTGGAGGCTCGACGCCGCGCCGCCGCTAATTTTGCTCGCCCGCTTCAGCACGAGGTGGAGCTTCTTCGGTTGGTGCTGCCTGGTCAGCAACAGTCCGGGAGCCACGCGCACCTTGGGCTCGCTACCGGGTCGCCAGAGCGTCCAGGGCGCATCGCCGACACTACCCGGGTCCTCCTCCGTCGGGGACCTCAAACCGTCGCTGGGCTTGCCTTGGGTCTTGGCGTCGTTGCCAAGGATCGGCGACACTTCGGACGAGCGCAACACCACCTCCGTGCTCTGGAATGTAAAATGTACTTAACAGTCGATATACATTGAAATTCGAAAAATAGAGTAACGGGTATTGGTGCGCGCGTGAAAATATATACGTACGTGTACCGTGGGTGCCGAGGGCGGCGAGATCGGTACGACCGATCTGGCCCTGTCGTACTTCCTCATGAGGACGTCGCCGATCTCGCGGAAACTCGGTAGGGTTCGCCAACAGGTTCTCACGGTGCACGAGCCGCTCACCCCGTGGCACTTGCACTCCACGTCCAGCATTGTTTTCACTATCTGAAAATCGAAACGTTTCACATGTAATACAAAATTACAATTATATATATGTATATACTCATGCGCGGATTTTGAAAAAGTGTTGCACGCACCTTTCTCCCGGCCTTGTTGTTGTGGAGGTTCATGAGGCTGCGCGCATCGCCCTCGATTTCCCTCGAGTCGAGGAACCTACGCGCGATCCTAAATTTAATCGACAACGTTATAATCCTCGGGGTTAAAATTATTAAACGAGTTTATGTACAAAAGATCCATTGATCACTTTTCAGTGTCTCGTGTGCTTGTATACCCACACAATTGTGGAGGTCTCAAATAATATATGTTATTGCAATGCGTTGGTTTACCTCATTCCGTAGGATACGTCGGCGCTGCAGCCTCCCCATTCCCAACCGTTGGGCGGCATCTCCTTCCGCGTTCTTTACCATGTAAACATACGTGATATTTATTTATCATTATTATTATTATTATTTTACTTAACTCTTACACCAAGCAATTATTCTAAATTTACGCTCAAGCGCCGAATGATTTTCCGTGTACACCTGCAAACGCTTGCATGTAAATTTACTTGGTTATTCATCCCGCGGATATTTTAATATATTTTTTGCAAGCGTCACAATATCTCTGTATACGGTTGTAGTTTTCAAAAGGATTTATCGCCATTGTATACGTAGGCGTGGCGCGATTCTATGGCCGAGCGGAAGAAAATTTCTACTCATACAGTTTGATAAAAGATAATGTATATGATCATTCGCTCGGTAATCGACTTTGCACAACGAAAGCAAAAGACGAATTTTCCTTTCTTATATCCTTAATATAATTAATTTTTCGCATGTAATCTATGTATACTTATGGACGTATGATAAAAATGGTCAAGTACTTTCTCATTAACCTGGTCGTCGGCTCGCATCCGCAGGCCGTTATGTTTCCCCGGCTACAGGCCGCCGTGACCGCGTACGTAATGGCGGCCGAGCTTATCGCGTACATGAACGCCGCCTCCCTGCTGCCTGAAAGTACAAAAGAAACGAAAAAAGGTTTATTGGAAATTTGTGTTGTTTTTTTTCCTTTTTTTACACAGTATTTTTTATTGTTACACACATATTTCGCGCAGTGCGCGTACAAGGTATACAGGAAAAAAAAAAAAAAAAGTGTCATGTGGTTTTGTGTAATTTTAATGTATAAATGAAAAACACAAAAAGCTAAAGCCTCGCGTGTGTCCGTATTAATCGAAGTATACGAGTCGCCCAGCCAACTCTCGTTGTCTCACGATTCGCATGTATGGGGTATACGGAACGGGAGAAAAGTTTTCGGTGCCGTTGCATGCGAATGGTTGAATGAAGAATTCGAGAAGGAAATAACCCAGAAGGTCATTCCTTGAAAAAACAGCCATATGTTACATGTATAGTCGTGCTCCTCTTTTGTCGCACAATCAACGAAGGTACAAGAAAGGGGTGTGTATCCCCGCGCGCTTGACACAATTTTTTACGGAGGCACGCGATGATATGAGTGGATTTTAAAAAGGCGGGGGGGGGGGGGGGTATCGACGAAAAATCAATTAGCCGCGCGGGATCGAGTTGCCCGCGCTTCCGAGTGTTAATCGACGTCGCGGTCGCGTCGACAAATTAATGCCGCGCACGAAACTCGTTACATTGAAATTTCGACGCTTCTCCCCCCGTTTGCCCCGCCGATCGAGATTTATCACGTTTTATGTTTATGCATGTGTGTTTGTGTGTGTGTACACATATATATGTATATATATGTATGTATGTATGTATGTATGTATACACACGTACACGCACACGCGGGTATCACGAGCAAACACGACTTTTAAATTGGTTTGGCGAATCAAGTGGCGTGGAATATCGTGTTACCATCAGCAGCAGCACAGATGTGACTGTATAGCGTGTATTGAGTATGTATATATAAGTACACCAGTTGCTGCGAGCAATAGTTGATTTCAGAGAGAAAAACGCGTTAATCGCGCTTCTCAGAGACAGTCTTTACCTTGAATTTTTTTTTTTTTTTTTTTTTTTTTCGAACGAAGGTTTCGTTTATTCACACGAACCACGTAAGATTAAAAAGAAAATTCGATTGAAAAAAAGGGCTCGTTGAAAATTTGCAAAATTCGATGATCCTTCGCTGTATACACGTATATTATATGTATGATTATAGAAAACAAGTGGTATTCAAGTGTATACAGGTACTATACTTTATAAAATCCGTATGACGTACAAAAACGAGCAACAGCATTATTATACCTACTTATCAAAAGCAGGGAAAAGATACATCGCGACCGCATTCCGGTCAGTTTATGAAAGTTCAAGTTATAAATGTTAAATGCGCCCACGTGTGCCTATACATATTTTACAATAAATAATACAAAGCGACTTGACCGATGGGATAATAATATACGTGCGTGCGTGATATATGTTATGCGTAGCCTTACTTGTTGCGTATATATTTTATTATACGTACACATAGCAGATTAATATTTAGCGCTTACTACTTGGTGATTAAACATGTAGGTCAAATTTACAGATGTGTATTTCATTTATTTTCTATAGACTCCTCTTCTCTATAAAAAAAAAAAAAAAAAAAAACGAAAGAAATTTATCGAATCGGCGAGTATTCAATGGAGTTATTAAACAATAAAAGCTTCTTTTTTTTTTTTTTTTAATTTTTACATCCTCGTTGATTTTCTCCGTGTGCAATACGAAAGCGCATCGTTGTAATATTTGTCATAAATCAAAGTGGCATCGATCGCTTACCCATACATGCAATATCCATACCCTAACGGGACACGACAAAGGCGCCGAGCGCATCGGTGCGTCGCGTGGGTGCGTTGGTTTTCAATAAACGCGACCTCGGAGCAAACTGGGATAAATGAGGTGAATGGGAGAAAAAGATAGCCCGTCATCGTCGGTGCAGATAATAGAGAGACACGATATATTGGTATACATATATGTATATATATATATCGGGTGTGCGCAATTTCATATACGAGATTGTACATTAGAATATCGGATGTGTAGCTACCGGAAAACTATCGGTGTATATACTTATGATGTATCCAATAACGAGTTTCCATCGCTCGTTACGTTTCAATTGGTATACATATGAGTACATACTGTTTAGATCAAATAAGTATTACCGAAAGCTTTAATCAAAACCTTATTTATACATAATGGAATTTCAAGTACCCCGTGCCTCGTTACGAATTATATCTTGTTAAATAAAAGTAAAAAAACCGTTTACACGTATATTTCTAAAAAAAATAAAAATTCGAATATAGCGCTAACATATAGTTCTCCTGTCGCCGGGGCCGTAAATTTTCGGTCCTGGATAAACTTGTTTCTCCCTCCCAAGAGCGAGGGATAATCAATTCATTTATAATTGGCGTTAAACGTTCCTCCGAGTACATATTTTCCGTCCCCTCTTCCCATCACCTTGTATATATTGTAATGCACCGTGTGCGTACACCAAAAATAAGAGACACGAGCGACCGAATAAACTTCCACGGGCGAAATAATGATTTATCGACGAGCGTAAAAATCACAATCCCCCCACCCCTCCCGGGAATTTGCATATGTACAAAAGCTCGCGTGAACGTGCATATAATATATATTATATACTCAATAATGTACAACATGCTAACTACTCGGGTATGCATGTGTATATCTAACGATGAAAATCGTGGTGGCTCGAATTTATGAGTTTGCGTTTTTTTTTGAGCAAGAAGAGTACGACTAGTAGGTATATACAATATAAAACACGCATCGCACAATGCATCACGCTCAACCATGCAGGGCATACATGTGTATATGCACGCGGGGGATATGCCCTAATGGGCCCAGGCCAGAAATTTATGAAGAGTCGCGTGCAACGAGCCGTGGTGTGGGCGATTATTTACGAGACGATGTATACACACATGTATATATATATATGTATATAAAACGCGTGTGATGCATGTATAGGTGCGGTGCACACGTACACGATACCCCCTTGAGTCGGACAATTATATTATTTCGATTTCAACACGGGAACCGAGAGATGAAGAACACTCGGTTTTGCGATCGACGCGGCTTGTCCATTTCCTCCATAATATATTCCTGATGTTGTATCTCCCATACTTACATACAAATCAATTTCTATCGAAATAATTTTTTCAAGTTGTCGAAAAACACGGAATGCTGACGATTGCGACTATCAACGGAAAAGGTATCAGGTGGGGTCCTGAGCTTTCACACGCGAGCGAAAAACGCGGAAGCCTTTTTTCCCGTGTACATCTATGTATATTGTGGGTATTTGCCAATACACGCGCACAATCTGCTCATTATTAGATTCCAGGGTTTTTTTTGTGCATCTCATTGCACGCGGGGAGTTTTATTATTACAGAGATAAAAAGCTGCCACGCACACGCGTGCGCATCGACGAGGGATCGCGTGCGCGCGCGATAATGAAATATTCCGGGACAAAGACTGGGGGGCGCGCGAGGGAATTTTTTTTTTTTTTTTCATTCCCATATGGGTATACCGAAAGGAGCTAAAGGGACGGAGCAGTTTTTGATTTGTAATGTATACCAATCAGCAGTTTGGCGAGCCCTTGATAAATATCGTTACTGCGGTGCACGCGAGAACGAGGGCACCTTCTCTGTTTGCGAAATTTGTGTATTTTGTTCAAGTGGCTTGAAGGATCTTTTTGCTTTTCATTAATTTTAAAGCCAATAAAACATAGGCAAGTACCTACGTCAACGACTTTCAAATCCGTCCACAATACTTATCGTCATTCCGTGGTGGTCGTTGGTGGTAGCGTGTATTTTTACACTGCAATCCTCTTTTGTCAAACAAGTGAAAAAAATCCTGCTTTAAAAAGTAGCGATCCCTTCGCTTCCAGGTAATGTAATTTTGTGTTGAACAATCCATAATATAATGTTTATCTCGATATTTATTAACTGGCGTTTTTCATAGTTTTTTTTTTTTTTTTTTTTTTTTTTTTTTTCGAACGAAGGTTTCGTTTATTCACACGAACCACGTAAGATTAAAAAGAAAATTCGATTGAAAAAAAGGGCTCGTTGAAAATTTGCAAAATTCGATGATCCTTCGCTGTATACACGTATATTATATGTATGATTATAGNGTGCATTATTTACGTGACGGAGAGTTGGATGTTTTTTTTGGGGGGGTTTTTAGAAGAAAAAAGTAAGTTGAACAGTAATTCAAGAGTACCAAGTTGTGACAAGCTAGACTCTGGTGAATCTAAAGTGTTTTGTTTGTATCAAGTGAGTTTGGTATACAATCAAACTGGAAAGGGCATTCAAATGGAGCTTACATCAGCGATTGTTTTGTTTTTAACATGTATTCTCAACTTGAAGGGGAAACATTTATGACTCGTAAATTTTTCTTCTTCCTTTTTTCCATCAACTTATTTTTTATATATAAAAGCAAGCATTATAATTAGCTCGTATCGTGAAAAATAAGTCGTCGTGTGTTATGTGCCGCGATCGCAGATTACGTACCTATACATATCTCTAACATCGTATTTAATACCAACTTCTACAAATTTCACTGGGAAAAATAGTTTATTGCCCCGTTACGTATTAATTTGATGTGTAATAAAATTAATGCTGACAGAGTTCACATTGTAACGGTACATGCGATTGTGTAAATTTCCATGTGGTGCCTCGTAAATTCATGCCGTTTGTATACGTATACGATTGAGAAATTTCATAAATATCGTACAATATATACATACATATGTATATCACGTGAAAGGCGCATTACGGCTTCAAGTGTTACGAATGACGATTTTATTGCATGTTTGATTTTTATTTCCCTTGCATTTTACGTTCTCACGCGAGAAAACGGATTTTTCATTTCACAAAGCCCGGATTTTAAATGTTGTTATCGTTGTACGTATAACGTACGGCATGTTTTGATTACCTCCCATATAATAATCATCACTCGATAGAAATAAAGCGTGTACTACTGTCTATGAAATAATTAATTTA